TGAGTCTTTTGGAATTGTCTTGGATCATTGTATTGATTAGAATAGCTAAATCTTTCACAATTGATCATCATTACAATATTGCTGTTACTGTGTACAATTATCTCCTAGTTCTGCTCACTTCATTATGCATCTGTTCATGTAGTTCTTTTCAGGTTTTTCTGAAACCATACCCCTCGTTATTTCTTATGCCATAAAATATAATTTCCCTGATTATCTCTTTCAATTAAATCTATCTTTGCTTTTGCATTGCCTGAGATAATGGTTGCTACCCCTGCCTTTTTTACTTCAGCTAAAGCAGAATAGATTCTGCTCCAATCCCTTATTTTAACTTTGTATATGTATCTTTCCATTTCAAGTATATCTCTGGTAAACATCATATTTTTGTATTCTCATTTCTAATCCATTCTGCTATCCATTTCCATTTTATCAGTGGGTTTATCCTATTCAGAGTTACGATTATTAACTGTGTATTTCCTTTCCTCCTATTTTTCTTTTATCTTTCTCTCTCTTTTTATATTGTCCTTCCTCAAGAGTCTATTTTGTTTCTGACCACTGCATCCCTTAATTTGATCTCCTTTTTCTCATTCCCCTTTTTCTTTCCTTCCCATCTTATTTCCCTGTTGGATAGGATAGATTTCTATACCCAACTGAATGTGTATATATATTCTTCTCTCTTTGAACCAATTCCAGTGAGAATGAGTTTCAAGCATTGCCTGCCACCTACCCAATTTCCCTTTCCATTATAAAAGCCTTTTCTTGTATACCTCTTTTACGTGAGAACATTTCCCCCATTCTACCTCTCCCTTATCCCTTTTCTAGGGGCATCCCTCTTTCTCACCCCTTGATTTTGTTTTTGAGATCACCAACATAATCAACTTACATCCATGCTTTCTTTCCACGTAGACTCTTTTAAACTAACCTAATAATAATTAAGTTCTTAGGAAATACATGTATCAACTTCTCACATAGGAATGTAAATAATTTAGCTTTATTGAATCCTTTATGATTTCTCTTTCACATTTATCTTTTTATACTTCTCTTGAATCTTGTGTTTGTCAAATTTTCTATTAAGCTCTGGTCTTTTAATCAGGAATGCCTGAAAGTCCTCTATTTAATGAAATGTCTATTTTTTTCCCCCCTGAAGTATTTCCTGAATACTTAGTTTTACTGAGTAGATTATTCTTTATGGTAATACTAACTCCTTTGCTTTTCAAAATATCATATTCCAAGCCTCCCACTCCACTGCTAAATCTTGTGTGATCCTAACTGGGGCTCCACAATATTTGAGTTTTTTTTTTCTTTTTTCCTGGCTGCTTGTAATATTTTCTTCTTAACTTGGGAGCTCTGGAACTTGGCTATAATATTCCTGAGAGTTTTCATTTTGGGATCTCTTTCAGGAGGTTATGGGTGGATTCTCTCAATTTCTATTTTATCCTCTGGATCTCAGATATTAGGGCAGTTTTCCTTGATAATTTCTTGAATTATAATGGCTAGGCTTTATTTTAAACCATGGCTTTTAGATAGTCCAAAAATTCCTAAATTATATCTGCTCAATCTATTTTCCACATCATTTGTTTTTCTGATGAGATATTTCACATTTTCTTTTATATATCATTCTTTTGACATTTTATTGTTTCTTAATATCTTGTGAAGTCATTAGCTTCTACTTGCCCACTTCTGATTTTTTTTTTGTTTTTTGTTTTTTTGTTTTTGTTTTTAGGCAATTGAGGTTAAGTGACTTGCCCAGAGTCACACAGCTAGTAAGTGTCAAGTGTTTAGTCTGAGGCCGGAGTTGAACTCAGGTCCTCCTGACTTCAGGGCCAGCGTTCTATCCGCTGCACCACCTAGCTGCCCCATCCCACTTCTGATTTTTAAGGAATTTTTTTTCCAGGGAGTTTTTGTACCTCCTTTTCCATGTAGTCTATTCTGCTTTTTAAGGAGTTCTTTTCTTCATTGAATTTTTGTGCCTCATTTAGCATTTAGCCAATTCTGTTTTTTTAAGATTCTTTTTCTTCAGTATTTTTTATACCTCTTTTACCAAGCTATTACTTTTCTTTTCATAATTTTCTTGCATCACTCTCATTTCTTTTCCTGACTTTTCCTCTATTACTCTTATATTTTTCTTTAATTCTTCCAGAAATTCTTGTTGCATTTTTCTTTGATGTTTTGCTTGTTGCTGTTTTCATATTGTTGTCTTCTTCTGAGTTTGTGTCTTGGTCTTCTCTGCCATTGTAGTAGCTTTTTATGTTCAAGTTCTTTGTTATTGTTGTTGTTGTTTATTATTTGCTCATTTTCCCAGCCTATTTCTTGCCTTTGAATTTTATGTTAAAGTTGGGCTCTGCTCATCCAGGGATGGAGAGGCAGTATCTCAAGCTTCAGGCTTTGTCATGCCACTGTTTTCAGAGCTAGCTCTGGGGATCTGCAGATTTTCAGGCTTCCAACATGGTTTGATCCAAGGAGAGATGTGGTCACTGCTCTCCTGGTCTGTGCTCTGGTTTTTACCCAGGAAGGGCCCCTGTTCTCCTGCAGCTAAAAGCACTAGTGCTCTTCTCTGCCCTAGAACTGCTGAGAGAGCCCCTGCTCCCTTATGACCAACCACAAGCACTCTTCTCCACCTTGGAACTGCAACCCAGAAATTTGTATGGGCAATAGAGTTGCCAATCAGTGCCAGGTTTTACACCCAGGGCCAACAAAAGGTCCCCTTGTAATCTCTTTCTGACTAAGGTAATTGTCCAATTTCCTTACTGTCTCTGGGCTGAGAGTTCCTGAAGATGCTGGTGCTGCCACTGTTGCAACTGCCTCCAAAGCTCATTGCTGGTGCTACCACTGCCTGTGCTCCAGGCCTGTCCCTACCCCAGTGTCACACTTTCCCACTGATCTCCTAAGTTATCTTAGGTTGGAAAAATGTCTTACCCTGACATTTTGTTGACTTTGCTGCTTCAGAATTTTATTTGAGGCATTATTTTAAAATTGTTTGGAGAGGAATGTTGGGAGAGTTTAACTGAGTTACTGCCTCTACTCTGCCATATTGGCTCCACCCCTGTGTGATTGGAGCTTATGGTCATTTTATGACCTAATGAAACTATGAGTTTCATATATCTGTCAGCTGAAGTATATCTTCTTCCCCTCCTTTCCTTTCCTTCCTTCATCCATCTCTTCTTCCCTACTTTCTTTCTTCCTTCCCTCCTTCCTTTTATCCTTTTTCTCTCCTTCCTTCCTTCCTTCCTTCCTTTTTATCAACCATCTGGAGAATAGCTTGGCATGGTAGCTAGACTGCTGGATTTGGAGTCAGGAAGATGGGTTAAATCCTGCCTCTAACACTTAATAGGCAAGCCATTCTATTTCTTTGTGACTCAGGCAACTTTATAGGACTCATCAATTGAGCCATATGTGAGTTACAGTCTGCATTGGTTAAGGAAGTAGATAAGTATGCTCTCTCACACACACACACACACACACACACACGCACATGCACACACACATGCACTCTCTCATATACACATATGCATTAGAAAAGCTTCATAGAGAAGTAGATAGAATATTAGACAAAGTAAGGAAGATATGTCCAAATCCTGTCTTTGACACTCATTTGGTGATCTTGGGCAGATTCTCAGACTTTTCTACTTATTGTGTTTATGTTTTACATTGGTTAACTAAAAAAACACATACAGACATACATAGATGCAATACTAGATTATGAGGAAATAATCACATTTCAGAAACTTGGTACAGCATGTATCTAGCCTGGCACCTGAAATAAGAAACCACAAGTATGGTGTACATTCAGGAGATAGAGCATTCCTGAGCTACTCTTCATCTCTATACACACATAGAAAATGACACTCCACATTCCCCATACCTCTACCCAGTAGCATCTTAAATGGAATAATACTATAGATTTTCTTTTTCCCAGGGAAATATTTGAGTCATAAAGGAAATAAGAAGTCTGGGGCTTAGTAGGCAAAGACAGTCTTTTATTTTGAGTCTCACCTTGGTTGGTAGGATTGGACTTGTTTTTATCCATCCCAGAGGAGCCCACTGAGTGGTGCAAGGTAATAGCTAAAGAGTATAAAAGACTGGACAGACAAAGTTTGGCCAAGGATATTATTGAAGAATGCGGAGATGGAGGGTATGGAATAGAGAGCATGAAAGGCCGTGTTGTGTAGGGGTCACTAGTAAGTGATCTTGGCCAAGGCATTTCATGTCTCTGGGTTTCAGTTTCTTCATCAGCAAAATGAGAGAGACTAGATTTTTCCTATTTTATTGTAAGGATACATCTAGCTCTAAATCCTATGGTGATCCTTAAGACTAGGGATATAAGGAATTTAAAATTTCATAATTTATTTTGTACAACTGAAAACAGAGAATCTCCCATCTTAAGAGACAGGTACCAGAAAAGGTCATGGGGCACCTGGGCAGGGTCTTAGAAATGATAGCATGTTGAAGATTAAGAGACAACAATGATCATCTAGTCCAATGGTTTTCAGAGTGTAGTCTGTGGACTCCTGGGATCCCTGAGACCCTTTTAGGAGGTCTACAAGGTCAAAATTATTTTCATAATAATAATGAGATGTTACTTGTCTTTTAAAATACTTCTCCTTTTTCTAACTACATATCTAGATGAGGCCTGATTTTCTACAAACACTTCAACCAGAACAGTATGTCACAACAGCTTGAATGTAGAAGTAGAAGAATTCAACTGTCTTCTGCTAAGCCAGATATTAAAAAGATTTACAAAAATACAATACAATGCATTGCATGAAATACAGTTTACAAGTCTGTATAAAAGAGTGGACATACATCAGATTGCCTGCCATCTTGAGGAGGGGGGGAATGGAGGGAGGGGGGAGAAAAGTTAGAACTCAAAATCTTATAGAAGTGAATGTTGAAAACTAAAAACAAATAAATAAAATTTTAGAAAAAGAGTAGTCAGTCAAAATTTGGCCAAGTTGATTAATGCCAAAGTAAGGAAGTCTTCACTCTCTCTATTCCTTTTGCAGATGACATCATCCTGATTCTTCAAGGAAGCTGGCTCAGAGACATGGTCAGGTGATATGATTGCTTGACAAAGGGGTGTAGCCTTTACATGGATTGTTATTCTTCATAAATTTTATTGTCTGGGAATTCCATTACACATAATCTATCTCAACTGGATCTCTCCCCAAGGAGAGCAAGAAGCTAGAAGAAAACCAGAGGAGTAAATGTCCTGAGTGTTGAGAGAGAGAAACTCCAAGTATAAGGAATTGAGCTTGGCCTTAAAGCAGGTGTGTGACCATCTATGTCACTTGTTCTTTTGATAAAAATGTGAGGAGTAAAGATCAAGATTCTGTATGGGGATGGAGGTGGGGGAAGGCCACAAGAAGGCTGAGAACAATCAACAAAGGCTTTGTGTGGTGGTGGTGGTGGTGGTGATGATGATGGTGGTGGTGGTGGTAGTGAGGTGGTGGCTTGGGGTAACTGATCTCGTGAAAATCCAGCCAGTTGGCCAATAAGACCAACCTTAGAAAACATCTGGGTTTCATGTACTTTCAGTTTCACACATTCAGAGGACGGTCTTAATAGGTTTAATCGTCTAACATTTTTTTCTTTCTGGTCTGGTGAGGGTGCTTGATTTCTTAGATAGAAAAGAGATAATACAGAGCTGACCAAATGTTTTCCTCAGGATCAGAATTGTTACCCTAATCCTAAAGAAATTTCCCTGGTGGTGTGTGGGCATAAAAGCCTAACATTTATATGTGGATGGGAAACTGGGGTGTCATCTAGTACAGTCCCTTCATTTTACAGATGAGGAAACTGAACCCCAGAGAAAGGAGTGACTTGTTTAAAGTCACAAAGGTAGCAGAGGTAGCAAGGTCCTAAACTTTTGATACTCCTGTGGATGATATGGTTAAAAGAGCAGCACAGTAGGAGTTGGCTACCCCCCACCCCAAAAATGCTTAGTGAAAATAACTCACTGTTCTGTGCTTAATAAATGCTTATTGACTGACTGGCTCACTGTTAGCTTTGTAAACTGTAAAGGTCTGTCTTGTAATCTCTTAGCCACAGTTCTCTACAGTTTGCAAAGGGCTTTCTTTGTGTGAGAGACGTAGTGTAAATATTATTTTAACTTTACTGGTGAGGAAAATCAAGTCTCAGAGTGAGATTGTCCAAGGTCACATAGCTAGCAAATTTCAGAACCAGAATTCAGACGCAGGTTTTATTACTTCAAGTCTAATATGATTTCCATTACAAAATGCCTCACCTCTTGGGGATTTGCCTGGCATTATAGGTCACTTTCTTCCCCCATACCCCCTACACACACACCTCCCTCACCAGGTCAGATATGTATATTTGGTTCAAGTATGGTACAGTGCCAGTTTGGAAGCACTGACTAGCCAGCCATACAACTCATTGAGCCCATCTCATACAGTCCATTGTTTGGATACTTATGATATTTATTGTCATAACTTCATCTTGATTGGCAGTTCCTGGAGAGTAAGGAGAGTGCTTTGGGACTTCCCATAAATTTCTGCCTTGAACATAGTAAATGCCCAATAAATATTTATTGATTGACTTCCATTACATTAAGGAACCATAGTCCCATATTTTTTGATCATTCAGGCACCATCAGAATAAGAATCAGAGGATCGTAGGTTTTAGATTTGAAAGAGACCATAGAGTCCTTACTCCCTCATTTTACAGTTAGGGAAATTGAGACCAAGATCAGTGAATATTTATCAGATATTTGATAAGAGCAAGGCATGTACTAAATACTTCTGCTGCCGGAGCTTGGTGTGATGTCACTCACAGCAGCAAATCTGTCAAGGTTTTAGGCCAGTGCAAGGTGTAACAATGCCACTTATTTATCACAGAATTTCAGAACTGAATTGGACGTTAAAGGTCACCTAGGCACAGAATCTAGTTAGGAGAAAGCTCAGAGGATACCTTATCCAACGTGGAACTGCCCCCAGTCATCTAATTACTAACCCAGTACTCTTTTCATTCTGCTACTATGCTCCCTAGGCCAGAGATACCTAAGTACGTCTGTTCCAACTGTAAACTGGAGGAAGGGTGATATCCACCTCTGACCGTTGTGTTCTCATGGGTAGCAGAATCAGTAAGACATATGAGTGCTATGGAAATCCATTGAAAGCTCCCTCTGGATGATCCCTCTGTAGTTCACCTCTTGATTATCTGGAATTAGAATTCATTATGATTGGTTATGATGATGAAATAGAAACTATCTCTGAACACAATGGGATTAGAGAAACTATTACCAGATTTTTCTAGGAATGGATAAGTTTTTCCAGGAGAGGCATTTCCTTTCTCTCCTCCATGCCCTTTCATGGTTCAGTGAGTGACAGTTAATTTATGTGTGTTTCTTGTGTCCCTTGTTTTTACCAGGGGGATGGCAGTGGTAAGGAGTAAGTTGAGTTGGGCTTAAATCATAAGACAAATTAATGAGAATAACATGGCAGACTGTTTCTGCCTGTCTCTGGGCATCAGTTATGTTATGTTGTTTGAATAAAAGAAGAAAGATTTAGAAGTAGAGAACACCAAAACACCAAAACATTGTGTCACCTACTGGCTGGCTATGGTTCTTATATGAGGCTAGTAAAATAGGGGAAATTCTATGGCCTCCAATCTTGTCATGCACCTCCCTACCATTTTCAGTCAATTCAGCAATTTAAACAACATTTAAAAAAACAACTTTATTGTTGCCTTTTGTTTTTAACACTATACTTGTAGGACCAATTCATAGCTGTGCCAACAGTGCATGAGACCCAAGAGGTTTTGTGGTTGAGTCAGGATTGACTCATTTGACACCAGATCTAATGCTCTTCACACTTTACGCTTAAACTGCCCTGCCCCTGTTGAATTCTGCCTTGAAACAACATGAAAGCATAAAAAAATTATGCATAGTCAGTAATTAAAATAATTGTGTCTGACAATGTTTCCCATCTTACACATCCATAGTTCCCACCTTGAAACTGAGAGGAAGAAAGTATGTTTCCTTTTTAGTTGTAATTGTTCATTATAATTTGTGATAATTCAATGGCTTTTTATCATCTTTATTATTGTAGTCATTGAGTGTATTATTATCTTGCTTTTGCTTTCTTTCCATCACTTCATTTGAGTCTTCCTATGTTGTTTTTTTTTCCTGAATTCCTTGTTTTAATTTTTTTTTTTTGAGAAAATAGCTGGGTGGTAGGGTGGATCAAATGCCAGATATGAAGTCAAGAAGACCTGATTTTCAACCTGCCTCAGATGATTACTAGGTATATGACCCTAGCCAAGTTACTTAATCACTGTCTGCCTTACTATCCTCATCTGTAAAATTGGGAAAATAAAAGCACCTACCTCACAGGGTTAAATTAGAAAAAAACTGAAAACACAATGGAGAATGGATGAACAAATTGTGATATGTAAATGAAATAGAATATTAATGTGTTGTCATAATAGCAGCTAGTATCTATTTATTGCTTTAAGGTTTGCAAAGCTATTTACATATATTATCTCATTTGATCCTACTATGAGAAAGACTGTGCTAGGCACTGGGATTACAGAGACAGAAAACAAAATATGTAATACTCACCCAAAAGGAACTAAAGCAAAGAAGGAGAGAATGGTTGATGATGTAGAGGGGATGTGAGGTATGGAAAAGGGAGATGAGGGAACTCCTGAAGGATGAATAAATCAACAAGCACTGTTAAAATGCCTACTGTGTTCAAGGTATTGTGTTACCTTGGGGAAACAAAGCAAAAGCCAAAACAATCCCTGTTCTCAAGAAGTTTCCATTCTAATGGGGGAGACAAGATGTATAAATAGGTACATGCAAGAAGGGATGGAAGTGAGCCTTAGAGGGGAATTGTGTTGATTTCCTCAGGAAAGTAGAAATGAGCTTGTCTTTGGAGAGAACAGACTCTCATAGGAGTAGAATCTACTCATAGGAATAGAATCAAGGGCTTCAGGGGAAAGAAGAAGTTTGGAATGATGAGGTGGAGTTTGTAAGTAGATTCAGTAGGATAGACTCAATCAAGGAAGAATAAAAGGATTGTTCTGAAGCACTGAGAGCCCAGATGAAAAGACAAACATATATATGCAGTGGACCCAAGCACCAGGTGTGTGACTTCCCCTGGTTCTTTTTATCAGCACTGGAGTAGGTGTTGAGAAGGATGATCGGGAGGGGATGGGGATAATGATCTAGGAGGAGTGAAGATGGGAAGGATGACAATGTAGTAGGGGAAAGGTAGTGGGGAAAAGATGGAGTTCAGAGTGTCAAGGAATCCAAGAAGTGGAGGAAAGTATATAGTTGGATTGCTACCTATTGTGTCAGGATGAATTAGGGAGGAAAGTGAGGCCATAGTAGGGGTGATAGACTAAGAGAACAGGCAGAACAGGTCCTGGAGATTGTGGTGGGGCTGAAGAATAGGTTTAGGAATGAAGGAAAGGGACCATAGGTCATAGAAACATAGATAATTGGTTCATAGATTTACAGCAGGAAGGGACATTAGAGGCCAACCAGGCCAACCTCTTCATTTTACAGATAAGAAAATTGAGACAGAGGTGGGGTAACTGGCAAAAAGTCATAGAGATTGTAAGTGACAAGGCTGGAAAGAGAACCAAAATCCAACTTTCTTTCCATTACATCAGGCTTCTTCTAAAAGATGAAAGATGGAAGGACATACAGGTGATGATGATCAAAGAATGAAATACCTGAGTTCATGAAATCATTGATTTAGAGCTGGAAAGAACCTTCAATGCCATCTTGTACAACTTATTAATTTTACAGAAGTGTTTTGCCTTTTTTTGTATTCTAGGACTTAGCACAGTGTCTGGCACATAGTAGGTACTTAATGAGTACTTATTGATTGGCTGGCCGATAAGGAAACATGAATCCCATAGAGGTTCTGTGATGCCATAACATCACATAGGTAGTGGGGGTCAAGCTATGGTTTTGAGAGGTGTGGTATAGTGATGGAGGTGGCTGAACTAGAGTGAATCTGTAGGTTATGGGAGTTGATGTTTGAAAAGACACCACTGTGTATATTGAAATTTCCAAATGTGAAGATAGAAGCTGGGGTATAGACAGTGGTGTTCTGGTAAATGCCTAATGACTGGTTCTCTAGAGAGAAAATATACTTGTGACCCACTTTAAAATTCAATCTGCATTACCAACATTTTCTCCATCATTTTCATAAGGCTGGACAATCAACAAATCAGTAACTCAAGCTGTGATTTGTAGCATTTGCTAATTTCTGAGATGTAAGTGCTCACACTGAAA